AAACAAAGATGGTCTTTATCTGAAGCTGACTGACACACAGAACTATCTCTCCTTTGACACTATCAGGCATTGCTTTTGATTGTAGTATACATCAAAATGTATACATCAAAATCTTCAGTCTGAATATCTAAGCAGTGGAAGCAATTAGAATAGCTATGTCTCCCATCTATCTTACAGCAACATAAAAAATATGCATTTTGTAAGTTACATCATAGAAAATAAAGTATGTTTTTAATTTCACTTCACCAATTAAAAAAAAAAAAAGTATGTTTAGATAGGACATAACTTCTTCTTAGCCCTTATATTACCTGGGCATGGTTTATATAGGTTAGGCACAGATTTAGATCTAAGCACACCCACATTTAATAGCTTGGTATACATGTGCAAAGTCATGTTATGTGAGTGCCTGGTGCCCAAGCCAGCTCCACCCTGGTCCCATGTCCCAGCCTGGCCTCTGTTGTCCCCAGGGAGGTGTCTGATACCCTGGGCTGACCTGGTTGCAATGGCTCGTGGTTCTGGCTACCAGGCCCTGCTGTGCCTTCCCAGGCAGCCCCAGCAACCTCTGGCTCCCCAGCCCCTTGAGATTTTGATTGTAATATTGATACAACAAGCGATGGATTGGAATCTGACCTGAGCTGCAGGTGATTAGGATCCAGGTGATTAGAAATTACAAGTTAAATTGTATTATAAATTCCCCACCATGCTAGTTACAAATTGTACTATGCTGACTCTGCTTTTAGAAATCCCGTGCCATTCTAATAATAAATTCTCTTCTATATCAATCATAACATCCTGTTAAGAAAACAAAGTTTTAATTGTACCTATGGTTTAGTGCCATCCTGACTGCCAATATCCCCAAGAGAACCCATCTGTTTTGGGTGACAGTGTCACTTAGATAACACTGACATGTCTATTAACCAAGAATGTCATGGAGCCTTTTAGCAAGTGTGTGAAAAGGGCTGGATGTAGTATTTAGGAAATTGAAAGGGATGGTATTCTGGGCAGTTGGATTCTGGATGCTGAGAAAGTTCTGCATTGTACACTCTGCCTACCTTGCTCAAAGGAATATTACTAAATTAAACTTCCTGCTTGCAAATTAGGTTACTGTTTGTTTTGTTGGTGGGTTTTGAAAGAGGTTAATTGAAAAATGCTGTGGCTGAATGTTATCTAGAAGGAGGTTTTTCTCTTTTTTTGGTTAGTTGATTTTGGTCATTTGGCAGCTTTTTATGCAGAGATATAAGTTGTTTTCTACTGCAAAACCATTTATAGTTAAATTTGGAGAGGTTTACAGTGATGTTCTTTTTCAATTGTTCAACATCTAATTTGAGGTAGACTTGACTTTCAGGGATCATATGAACCTAAGTGTTCTGTTGATTTGGTGAAAGCTCAGAAAAGTCCAGCATGTCTGGAAATCAGATGTCTCCTGCCCATCTTTCAGAGACGTCAGATTTTGGGTATATAAATGTTGGAGAATAAGTGCAGCTAGTAGTGCTACATCATTGTTATTAACATTTGCATTGACTGTCTGATATATGCTTATTTGAATTTAGAAATTCAGGACATTATGGAAAATGTATATTGTACAATATAAATTATATTGAAAAACTAAAGATTCATTTAACTTACATAAGAAGACAAACAAATATCCAGCGGATTGAGAGTTAAAACCCACAGTCTTAAACAGAAAACATACAAACTTTTAAAATATTTCTTTTGAGAAATATCAAGCCTATTTTGCTACTCAAAGCAGTAAAGAGCTCTCACTCCTTGCCCTCCTTCCTTGTTCTCTCTTCACAAATTTCTAGGCACCACATACCCCTCACACGAGGGACACTTCAGGCAGAATTGTACTTTCTGCTGTACAGCCTAGTTTGTGTTTTAAGTGTGAGGGTTTTGCCATCTGAAATTGGCTGTAGGACTGAACTGCCACATAATTCAAAGCAGGCACAGAAATGTGACTAACTGCAGCTTAGGGTATTGCTTTCCAACTGATGCATCTTTTTAAAAAATTAGATGGGCATCATGATATAAACCAGAAAGCACAGCTGGTTTTACAGTCTTGCATGCCATACCACAGCTAGGATATCAGCTGTTCCTATCAGCAAGGAGGAGCTGGTATGGGTGATTTGTTATCAGGGAAAGTCAGAAACCACTGCACCAAGTTTTCTTGGGACTGGTGCAAATGCAAAAAAAGTTAACTACAGCTGATCCCCATAAGGAGAAGATGGGAGGAAAAATTCAATTGTACCAACTCAAAAATTGTTCACAATGAGCAGGGAGAAGAAAAAGAATGGGTGAATTTCTGATCCACAAAGAAAGCTATTGTATGAAGCAAGATAAAATGTTATCTAGATTAGACGAGAAGTGGGAGATTAGTTCAAAAATTGTGAAAACTGGCAAACTGGGAGGCTAGGCAGATAGCATCAGGATGAAGAGAGATTGTTCTTGGAGATTCTCATTGCTGTATGTTGGATCCAATCTTGCTCCATTGATACTGGTGGCCTCATCAGGAAACAGTTTTAGGACTCTGCAAAGAATCACAGAATTAAAGAATATCACAAGAAGAAAGGGATGCATACAAATACATCGAGTCCAACTCCCTGTGGTTAAGAATTTTCTTCTTAGTAAGAAGCAGTGTGTGCTATACTCACAGAATGTATGCAAGGATTCTTGTGTATGGTATTGAACAGCTTGTCTGTGGGATCTGGCTGAAGAAAATGGTTTTGTGACTTCACATCTCAGTCCTCAGTGTAAACAAACAGCTGCGGTAATCAGCTGGTACCACACATCAACAACATCCTGCCTAGGACTGAAAAAGCGTATGCTAACACTAAGAGTCAGACCATTGTAGGTCAGGAGATGGAACATCTGAAAGAATAGCTGCAATATACACTAGTTTAAGTGCCTTGAAAGAGTATGGAAGTGTGTCCCGGTTTAGGGCAGATTTGGGAGGAAACCTCCAAAAGGGGCCCCTCCAGAAATCAAACCCACACGGCCCCTCCCCCCAACTGGTTCGGGAAGGATTTCCTCGGAGAGAAGTGGAAAGAACCTGTTTATTTAACAGGCAAAGCACTCCCCAGCACACCAAATGAACAATACCGGATGACAAAACTGATTCGCTGCTCTGAAGAGATGACAAATTCAGAAAGTCTCCCCGGTGGCTGGTCGCTCTGTTATCAGTCCCTCCGGCGCTGGAAAGGCTGCAGAGTAGCCCCGGCAAGCTGCAGAGTACGATGTTTCCTCGGTGTTTCCCAGGGTCCCGGTCTGGAGCAGGTTCAAACAGTTCCAAGAAAAGGGAAAGAAAAACAGTCCAGGGAAAACTCGGACTGCCTCAGCCAGCTAAAGTAACTAACTAACTAACTAACTAACTAACTAACTAACTAACTAACTAACTAACGAAAAAGCAAAAGGAGTGCGGTGTTCTGCCCCGTCCATGCCCAGACAACAACAGTGGAGTTCTGTATTCCAGCAGACTGTGAAGGAGTAAGTGAGGCTGATAACAAAGCTCTGCGTTTCTTCTTCTCCCACTTTGCTCCCAGAGCCAGTGTTGAACGCACAGAATGTAATATCCAGCATAAACAGAACACACGATTGGGGATACAAGCATCATCACGTCACCCTAGGACAGCTCCATACTGCAGTGCCCTGGTCATTCAGAAAGAACTAATGTGAGCAACGTAATTTGGAAATCTGCAGAGACCGAGACAATATGAGAGTGAGTGTATGCATGCTTACACTTGCAAGTAGTTTTAGTTAATAAAGTGCCAGAGGAACTCTTTACCTTGTAATGACTTGTGTAATCAAGATGCAATAAATATTAACAATTAGAACTGTTGCCATCAGTTAATGTATTTTAAAGGCACTGCGCAACAAGTGTGATAACTTTGCTGGATTTATATATTCATTAATCCCTGTCAGCAACTAGGAAGATCAAGATGTTTTGTGGCATGAAGTGGATATCTTCAAAGACTTAATTAATAGGAAAAGAATAATACCTAATACTAGGAAGGCAACAATATGTCCTTAATAACAAGGCCTTTTTTTTTCAAACACAGAAATAGGTTAGGAAAATATTAGTTCACCCAAATTAATCATGTGACGTGATGGAGTAAGAAACATAATGCAATATGTAAACTGAAATGCTGTTCTAGACTGTTTCAGAATAGCCGTTTCCAGTTAGAGATAAAGCAGATTGGTGCTGGTGCTGTATCACTTCTTTTCACAGGAATAAGAATTAAAAGCACTGAATAAAACTTAATTAGATATTGAAAAGGGTGGCAAAGATACTAAAGGCATGATTTTGTTTTTTTCATCTGGCCACATGATGACTGCAAAGAAAACTACTTTTCTTTAAATGAAAAGGAGACCAACAGACAGGGAAGGGTATAGGCCACAAAATGTTCAGGAACAGGAAAACGAATTGTTGACTTTAGTGGAATGGAACCGGATGAGTCAAGAGGGGCTGTTGCTCTCCACCTCAGAATGCTTTTACCTGACCAGTACCCCATCAAACAGACGGGAGTGCAAACGCAGGGCTACAGAAAACGCTGGGGTTTTTTGGCTTCCACAGACCGCCCAAAGCCGCAGCTAAAGCAGCACCCCCGGAGCAGGGAGCCCTCCCCAGCCCAAGGAGAACAAGAGACCCCCGCGGCGGGTTCGGATCGAGCCGCAGTCGGCGGCCCTCGGCAGAGAGGGCAGCCGGCCACGGGCTGGCGACGCTGGTCGCTCGCTCCCGGTGGGTCCCACCGTGATCCCGGCGCCGGACGATGCCGTCCGCCGGCGGGAGCTCTGAGCCTCAGCCGCCCTGTCCCCGCTCCGAGCCCCAGCGGGGTCCCTGCCCCGGCTGTCCCTTCGCGGGCGGTGGGTGCGGGGCCGGCAAGGCCCCCGCCCCGGCTTTGTGCTGCCGCTCGCACTTTGCAGGCGCGGCGGGACTGGGAATCCCGGGCGCACGAGGCAGCCTCGCCTCCTCCTCCTCCTCCTCCTCCTTACCCACCTCCTCCTCCGGAGCGGGGCGCATGATGGCGGCAGCCGCTGTGGCGGAGGTGAACAGCACCGGCAGCAGCAGCACCGATACCTCCAGCACGGGCGAGGAGGAGAGGATGAGGCGCCTCTTCCAGACATGCGACGGCGATGGGGATGGCTTCATCAGCAGGTAGCGACAGCGGGAGGCGGCTCTTTGCTGATACGGAGCCGTCCCGTCCTTCCCCTCGCCCCGCGTTCCCCGGCGCTTAACTTGTGGGCGAGTTGGAGCAGCGGCGGGAGCTCCGCGGCTCCCAGCCCCGCTCTCGTCGGCCCCGGAGCCAGGGGCTCCAGCGGGGCCTCGGCACCGAGAGCTTCCCGGAAAAGGGAACACTGCCCGCAGCACTTCCATGTCCGCCTGGGTTGAAAGATGATGCCTCTGAGCCTGGATTTTATCACCTCGTGCCCTGGGCAGGTGGTTTTTGCAATTAAACACACAAAAAGCTCGTGGTGGGTAATCTAGGAGAAAACTCATATTGTTCTCCCGGATCATATGATTTTGTTTTGTCAGTACGGTTTAATACATATTCTTGTTACACAGTTTGGTTTAAATTCCCCTGCTGGTCCTCAGAGAGTTTGAGGAGTGTCACGAAGGCTGATGGGTTGTAGTGGGGAAGGGTGAGTTTGTACATTTGCAGTAGATACTTGGAAATAAGCCATAGTGGAATGTTTATATGTCTGGAAGCACTGGCTGTGTGTTTTGGTCAGGAGTTGGTTTTGTGGCAATGGTATTTCTGAGTTCTCACGCCATAATTTAAAAAATACTGAACTTCAAAAGGCGAGATTTGCCAGAGGTCGTGGAAACTTGCATTTTCAAAATGAAATTTATGCTATTGCCTGCAATTAATACATGCCTCTAGAGAACTGGGACAGTGAGGGAATTTCTTAAGTCTGCTATTTAACCTGTAACCTAAGAATATGACCCCAAAGAAAGGCTAAGTAAACTTGAATCCCCACTGCCATCTCTTTGGAGCCAGAAAGTTGTTGAAAATCTGTAACAACTGGCAGTCACTTTAAAAATAAAGTTCAAGGGTCGTGATATTTCTTATCTGAACAACTCCATGAACACTCTTTTCTCCCCCTCAGTCTAATGATTATTTTGACAGTTGTGGTTTTGAAATATAAACTTTGAAAATGTGTACTTTACAACCAGTGTGCTAAGACTGCTTCTCTTTCCATTTGTTTATGGTCTTCATGGAATTTATTCTGATATCTGAAAACTTGAAATGTTCGCGAAAATTGTGCACTGTCTGTTCAGAGCACACTTGCTTTTCTGTACTGTCATGTTTTTCTGCAATGTGAACTCAGTGTATTTATAATTTAAAGACCTTACTGGGGGAATGTTAAATGTTTTAGTGTTTCATACAGACTATGTAGAGATGTTACCATGACACAAACTACTAATTTCTGATCGACTAATCCACATTCACTAAGTTTTGACCCAGATTTGTATTGTGTTCTTCAGAGTGTTGCTTGAACTACAGTGTTGAAAACTCCAGGATGTGTCTGAGTAGAGGCATTGGATTTCATGATGAAATGGCTGTAAAGCCCAGGGCCTGGGTGGCGGTTGAAAATCCTTGAGGAGATGGTGGGTTCATTGTTGAAGGTTGCTAATACCTTGCTTCAGAAGGGAGTTGTGCATTCAAGGCAGAGCTGGTGTGGCCTTTATCAGAGGACATGGTGTTATGAATTACTGTCTTCCTTTACATCTCTGTATGAGTGACAAAGTAGTGAAGGAATATTTAAGAAATTATCTTTGACATGACTTTACTTCATTAGGTAGCCTGGGTGATGAGTTGTATAAATGGAATGCCTTTCTTGCTTTCTGTAGTTACTCAATTTTGCTTATACTCTGTTTTATAGCAGTGACTTATGCAGGAGGAGACTTGTCCAGTTGCATTTTGATGTCTTTATAGTATATACCACCACAGTATTACAGACAACTCTGTCAGGTTCATGGACTCACAGTGTCCCTGTTGAAAGTATAGCAGATGGGGGTTTGTCGTGTAGAGCTCTAGTGTTTAGGTTATTGCATCCTTTTAAATGTAATAATTAAAGGCAAAAAAGTTATGGCTGCTTTTACACTAAATTTCATCTTGCCATATTCTGCATACCATTTGTCAGGCTTCTGTGTTTGTTTCTTTCTAGTTTTTTTTTTGTTTGTTTGTTTCATATGAGCCAGTTGATTGGTTTTCCTGCTCTTCTTGCCCTGCTTCTTTGGACTTTTCTTTGCTCATTCTTGTGGCCAAAAATTTTTTTGCATTTCTTGCAGCCCCAGTGGCGATTGGAGGCTGACTTCTGCATGTCATGATATCTTTCACAACAGGTTAAACATGGCAATAAATGCCCAGGCATCTTTATAAAGAGCTGAAAACACAGAAGCTAGCACTTTAAAATCATCTCCTTCTTTGTGTATTAGAACTAGACTTGACTATGATCTATAACCTATCACTAGGATAAGCTTCTTTTTAAATACTAGCTTATTTTGAATGCAATGGGACTGAAATTTGCTGTTTTGCAAGTGCTACTGAGTATAAATTTTATATTTAAAAGTTAGTTTCCCTTCTATTTGCAGGCCGGAAGCTTGGTCAGTCATTTCTTTGCCTAGCACATGCAGCAGTTTGTTTATAAGGTTTCTTTTTTTCCAGCTCCAGAGCTGTTAAGGAAAAGAAGATCTTTATACTTGCAGCAAAGGCAGGCATTTTGTGTGTGTGTGTTTATTTAGTTCATATTGCATGGGGGGAAAAGAGTTGTTTGCATTCATAATGAAATAACATGGTGTCTCAGCTGTGGAAATGCTTTGTCGTGCATCACTCTCTAATAAACCTCTTTAAATAGTAGCAGGGAAGTACAGGCACAGATGGAGAGGAGGAGCATGTCCTGGGATACTGATTAATTTTCGGGCTCTCACCTGAGATATTGATTAAATTCCAGGCTCTGAGTAGGATGATATCGAAGCAATAAAGCATAATTAAGGATGTGCCATTGGTGGTTATGATCCAGTAGACACTGAGCTATGGGATATGAAATGCTAAACCAGTGTCTCTGAGCATTGCATTAACATGTGCATATTGAAATTTTGCAGTATCCAGCTAGAGAAAAGTACTAAGGAAACAACAGAGTTTTAACTTATTGGCTTGTACTGAAATGGCTTTTGATTCTTTTGGGGTTAATGTTTGTTACTTAATTATTTTAACATCTTGCAAATGTTTGGCATTCTTCTCATACTTCTGCAACACCGGGGCAATTTCACAAAAACGAACTAACCAACCAACCAAAAAGTACCACCCTCCCGCTTTGCAACTCAGTTGCAAAGCAGTCCACAACTAAGGCTGGATTCTGAACGCTTGAGATCAGCTGGATGAGCATTGCTGAGAGCAGAAGGCAGCCTTAAACACTGTTTACAGCATAACTTCAGTTTTGCAGCTGTAGCTGGATTGTGTGGTTATCAACAAAAAAAAAAAACCTGTTAACTGAAAAAACAGTAATTGCTTTCCTTTGCTTTATTCTGTTTGCTTTGAAAAGTTTCAGAATCTGATGTTACAGTTATAAACATTTTCAGTTTCAGAGGGTTGGTGAATTGTCCAGGACACGTGTGCTTTTTTTTCTTTTTTTCTTTTTGATGCTGTTTGCATATTTAGCCTTGAATGCTGGGTTTTTATGGGTGACAGCCTAGATTAATGTCTTCTTCAGAAACTTAATTGCCTTGTAGCTTTATTTTATGTGGATTGTATTGAAATTCTATTTAGCACACAATGAATTTCATCTTCACTGCGGAAGTCACTAAATGGGTTTTGGATTACTCTGTTGTAACACTGCAAAATGTAAAGGTAACTTTGAATCTGCAGGAAATACTTTTCCTTTAAAAAATGAAGGTATGAGTTGTGGAAATAATGGGCGAAGAAAAAATTAATTTTATTATTAAGGTACAAATATGCTAGCTTTCCAATTTTAACTTTTAAGCATGGATAAATAATTATAGGATTGTGAAGAAAAAAGGTAAAGCTAGTGTTTAGTTCAATTAGAACTTTGTCATTATATTAGCAATAATGGAATTAAGTTTTGTTTGTAGAGTTTGTTTGAGAACTGTGTTGTCTGTGTACACAATTTTTTTTACACTGGTCAATATCTTACAGAAAGTCTTGGAAAAGTAGAGTACCACTATACATAGTAAGATGTTAAAAACCCAGTAAACCTACTAACTTTGTAATGAGCTTATACAGCCTGTTAAAAGGCCACGCAGAATGTGCCTTCTCTAGCCCTGCACGAAACAGTTAAAAGGAACTGGTTGGATTTGATTTGTTACCTGAGTGGTTTCAGGGGCACATGGCTTTGGGAGCTCAAAACCTTTGCAAGTACGGGCTGGTCCTTCCCTTTTTAATGGGTTGTCACAGTGGTAGGACATTCACAGCTTTCTTGCTGAGTGTATTTTGGCACCCCTCCCCCACCCCACCCCCTCCAGTGTTTCTGCATCTGGTTCTGCATATAGTGGCTGCTGTTGGTGCTGTTAGAGGAGAAAACCCAGTATTTTCAAGAAGACAAAGTATTAATCTATTCATTGTCTTTTTAAGGGAGTTGATTTATTCTTCTATGATATCTCTTACTCTCCACAGCAGACGTTTCCACTTCATTTAACCTTTTTTTCAAATGTTTGATTTTGCTAATGTGTTTCAACTTCTGTGCTTAACATTTAAAGAGGTACTATTGAAGCACTTAAGGACAGATAAAATGCAGCAAAATCATTGTGGGTTGTCTGTGACCAGTCAAGTTACCAGTGTTGGTAAAACACTATTTAATCCATAAGATGACCATTTATGAAGTCATGTGAACATGTTCAGTCAGGATCTCTGAAAACTTACTTTGGGCATGAGCTAATATTCTGCATCTACTCTCTGCAGAGTATTCTGTGCTGGTTGAAAGCAGTATCAGGAACAAGGTGTTTTGTGTGTGCTCAAATGTCAGCAGGCTAGCAGTGATAAAGCTATTTATCCTACAAGCACGAGGTTTCTAAAAGGTCAACTCTAACAGAGCAGGTGGAAATTAAAAACTGCGTTTGAAGTCTTGTGAGAGAAATAATATATATTCTGGTAGTTTTGCAGCTACTGGGATTTCAAATTTCAAAAGAAGTTTGAT